CCTCAGTGATTTTCCTAGATTTTTCAATGATTATTGCGCGTAATTCAAAGTTGTAGTATAAGTTGCCAAAATATAATGTAAAAGGGGAGCTACTACGCGCAAGTAAACAACGCTCCGTAATAAAATTCGCGCAAAATTAGCTTCAGCTGTAAAACAATGGTGAAATCGCTATAAGCTTACGCATTACGTGATAACTAAGTGCAATCATCGTTATCATAGTGAAATATAACCAATATAAATGTTAATTTGAGTAAATAAACATAACCATTTAACGGACCTCTTTCCAAAAAAAATTGAGGCTTTGTAATGTATGCACATAATGTACCATAGACATTAGACAATATATGTTACACTGTGGCCCGCCGTTCCGACATTACGACACTAGACAGTGGTGTGAACGGACGTATCGCACGTGTACGTGAAGTAAACACATGTTGTTTCATTGAGCTATCCCTTTTTTATTTTTTTACGTGGGGAAATCCACATGGATATCTCTCTGCTGCGGGGGCAACAGAGAGATTATGTCGGACTCCTACCGACTAAAACCCCACGGTGTACCGTCCCTGCACCTTTTGCCAGGACTACGGGAACGCTTTCGCACTCTCCGCGGTCCCGACGGCGCTGGCCCTCGGCCTAGGGCCCCTTCCCGTTGGGGTTAGACATGGGGAATAGCGTTACATTTCTATCGCCGTGACTGTCGTTCCGGTTCCAAAAAAATCACAGTGATAAATCATCATGATTTTGTCACGACTGTTACTTCCGTGACCTTGTCACGCCTATAACTTACATCACGATATACGGTTTTAGCCAGTGGTTTCTTTCTAATACTTATAGCCGTTTTTTATAGAATGGTTTAAGTTTTACTCCCTATTTGGTTCTCAAGTAATCTTATAAGTCTATTACGAGAAAAATATAAGTACCGCCAGAAGCTTCGAAAGTTTAACAACAACCCACGCGACAAACTGGCTTTCGAACTTGCAAGGTGCCGTTCCGATAAAATGAAAAATTTATGTTATAAACATTACATAGCTTGCCTGGAGAGTAATCTACGTTCGAATCCAAAATTATTCTGGTCGTTTGTGAAAAGTAAAAGTAATAACAGTAGCCATTATCCTTTTCAAATGTACCTGCATGAAAAATCTGCAGTTGGTAGTAAAGATATCTGCAATCTGTTCGCTAATAACTTTGCTTCAGTTTACAACAAACCTACTGACACCTCTGCTGCGGTCTACGATTCGCCATCTCTAACTAGCAGCTTTTTAACTATGATTCAATTTAATGACGACCAGGTATTCAAGGTTTTGGAGAGACTCGATCCTTCGAAGGGTGCTGGAAGTGATGGAATTCCTTCTAAATTTGTGACCATGTGTGCCCCAGGATTAGTTCGACCTCTACGACTAATTTTTAATACATCTCTAAGCACTGGTGTCTTTCCGACTGCATGGAAAAAGGCTCTTATAGTACCCTTGCATAAAAATGGAAACAGGGAAGCTGTGAATAACTACAGGCCTATTTCCATTTTGCCAATCTTTGCTAAGATCTTTGAGTGCTTGCTGATCCCCATAGTCTCTTGGCATTTCAAGGGTATAATGCTCTCTGAGCAACATGGTTTTACCAAGGCACGCTTTACAGTTACTAACCTCATCCAATTCATCAATAATATTTCTCACTCTCTTGACCAGCGTTCTTCTGTGAGCGCCATTTACACTGACTTCAGCAAGGCTTTTGATAAAGTTAACCATCAACCTCTTCTACGTAAACTTTCCATATATGGTATAGCAGAGCCTCTGCTGGGTTGGTGCGGATCGTATCTGTGTGGCAGAACGTCTTCGGTCGTTGTAAACGGGGATTCATCGGAGCCTTTTGGAGTTTCTTCTGGAGTGCCGCAGGGTTCACATTTGGGTCCATTGCTTTTCAATGTCTTTATAAATGACATAGATCAGTGCTTTAGGCACTCACAGTTCTTGCTGTTTGCTGACGATATGACATGTTTCCGAGTTGTGAATACCATTGAGGATATTGCAAAATTACAAGAAGACATTAACCGCCTAGACTCCTGGTGCGACAATAACCAAATGATTTTAAATGTCTCTAAGTGTTGTGCAACCTACTTCACCAGAAACACTAAGCATGTCGTCAACCCTCTACTCACGATTAAAGGTAACCCAATTTCTAATGTGAGTCAAGTTAAGGATCTGGGCGTGCTGCTCGATAGCAAAGTTCGCTTCCACATCCACATCGACAGCATCGTATCTTTTTAGGGTTTTCAAACCCTCGGTTTCGTCTTGCGAAACTGTAAGGACTTTAAGTCGCCCAGCATTAAAATTATGTTGTACAGCTCTTTGGTGCGAAGCGGGTTGGAGTACTGTAGTGTTGTATGGAATCCTTTCTATGATGTGTACAAAAATAAAATTGAAAGAGTACAAAAAAGATTCGTGTGGCACTTGACCTATTCCTGCTTTCTTGCTAAGTCCTTAAAGAATTACGACGCCAGACTTGAGCACTTCAAAATGGTCTGACTTACTGAACGAACTCGACTTTAACACACCGCGTAGGTTGCCAAGGTCCTCGCAGTGTTTCAAGTTATTCTGGACCCCCAGCTCCCATCCAAACTTGGGCCACTTTGCACCTTTAGCCAGACTGGCACACCAGCATAACAATAATCTTGACAAGACAGTTGACATCTTTGCTGAAAGTTTGCCTAAATTTAAACGTTCTGTGAAGTCCCTGACATCTTAAAAAATATATTGTATTCGATTATTTTTATGATTTATATTTTTATTACTTTATTATGGATTCGATTTTTTTTATTAGCTTTATCAACGACATTTATATTTTTTCAATTTAATTTGTTTGATTGATTAAAATTGCAATAGTAAATGTTAAAATAACACTCTTATTATCTTACATGTTGTCTTCACCTATAATTGCTATAGCATTAAGCTTTTGTTTTGTATTGTTAAATATTTGAATGTTGTAATGTATATAGCGTTGGTGAACTTAATAAATAAATAAATAAATATATAAATGATCCGACAACGTCTCCATCCCTTCCAAAACCTGCCAATCCCGAACCACGTGTGCAACAGCAGGAGATGAGAACGAAATGTCCACGATGGATCCACCCTGACGTCGCACACACGTGTTGACCGATCCATGGTTAAGCACCAAGAGGCCAGTCTCCATTGGCCTTTGCTCTAACACTACACCGCGCGCATCTGTCGTGGGAGAACCGCACGCCGAGGATTTGGCGTTGAAGTCCCCCACGAGGAGAGTTGGACGAGTCAGGGTTTGCCTTATAAGGGCATCGACCCCGTCCAGAAATGCCTCGAAATCGGCGAGGGTTCTATTTGGAGAGAAATACACTCCTATGAGTACTATTTCTCACCATTGGACCGCCACATACCCCCTCCCCTTTGCGATCGTCGCGAGAGGTGGAACCCCAGAGGCCATCAAAGAGATGATGGTCACCAAGACAACCACGCTTTCTATACAACCCCCTAACCCACCACCTAACCTACCCCCTCACCCACCCCCTAACAGACAACTACAGACAGAGGTGGGCGTTTAAACAAAAAGCACTTTAAAAAGTCTGCTTTTTAAAATAAGCGCATAAGCACGCTTTTCATTTTAAGCGTAAGCGTTGGTCACTGGCTAGTTCTATAGATACTCAATAATTTCATTTTTTACAACGTGCCTAAATTTCAAGTAACGCCATCTATTTTTCTTAAACAAATAAATTCAACATAACGTTGCAAGCTTTTTTAAACATAAAGTCTAAGCGCTTAAACGTTTTTCTAAACGACTTTTTAAGCGTCAAAATAAAAAGCGTTAAGTGAAAAGCGCTTTTACAAGCACGCTTTTTAAACGTACGTTTTAATGTTAAAAAATAAGCAGTGTTTTCCATGTCAACGATTAACAACTACAAAAGTTAAACAACTGATGTTTTTATACGCTTTTAAACGCCAATGAACAAAATGTTAACATAATAATATTAATGTTATGTTAAAAATATAACTCGTTTTTTACAAAAAAATTTACTTATCGTAAAACCTTTAGTGGTCTACTCTTGCGTTTCGCTACAACACAACAACCTTGCAAGCTTTTTTTATCATAAAAGTCTATGCGCTTAAACGTTTTCTAAATGATTTTCTTAGCTTCAAACTAAAAAACGTTTAAGTGATAAAGCGTTTAAAAAAGCACATAACGTTTAAAAAAATAAGCAGATTTTCCCATCTCTAACTACGAACTAAAACAGGACAGATATATGAACTACACGGAGAGAAATATCGCACCGAGTTTGTTTGAGCAATCTCTTAATTAATATTAATTGATGTTCACAAGTTGTAGTCGAGAGCTCAGTCGGTGTCTTAGGGTCAACTCTTCAGCAGCAGAACTTTCAGAAGCAGACTTGAGTATGATTTCAAGCACTGGAAATTCAGGACTTGAGTGTTGCAGTGAGCACTGAAAATCATACTCAAGTCCTTGCCATTAGGGTCGTATTTCCAGTGCTTGAAATAATACTCAAGTCTGCTCAAATCCTGACTTGAGCATTGAGTACAGTTCTGGAATACGACCCTAAGAGTCTTTCTAGATGAAATTACAAATCTCCCCCTAAGCCTTTACACAACGCCCCCATTTTTTTTTTCTGATTGACTTTCCGACCCCCTTTAGGCCAGCAGCGCCCACAAGGGGGCGTTATCGCCCACTTTGGGAAAGGCTGATCTAAGTGGTAGTGTGCCAAATAGGCGATCCATGTAAAGGAGCCTTAGAAATGATGAGCCAATATATTTTTTTACTTTAGCAATAAATTCGAGTCGACCGCTCTGTTTGTAGTCTATGGTAACACTGTGTCAGTGTCAAATGTCAGCTGGCAGATGACCAAAACCAAAATAGAATATGCCTATGTCAATAAAATTTTAATCAATCCAAAATCTCAAAATTGTACAAAACCTGAAAGTGAAAAGGAATCAAAATATTACAGAACCTAATTAGTTCGACAATATCAACACTTGAAAGCTGCGCAATGTTAATAATTATTATGACCTTATAAGACCATAACAATTCTGCTCTTGTGCGTGTGACGCTCGTTGGCCAGAGGTGTGTGCATCCTTACCTTAATATCGCATAGCGGACTAGTATAGAGACTAGACTCCGTATTGTGTGTGTCGTTTGCTACCGATACGAAATGTTAATTAGTGAAGGTCACGAGTAGCCAGTTACTACATCATCTCTGAGTGAACCGGAGCGAATCAGAGCCCGCGTTTACGTAACGAGCTCCGACGCGTCACGCTTCTGTAACCGCATTAAGAGTATTATTAGTCTCGAGCGAGTTGAAGATGTTAGCTCTAACAATATACAGCAGGGCGGTGGCCGCAGCGGCAACAGCCGGTACCGCAGTGGGTCGGCGTACCAACAGCAGTGTAGTGCTGCGCCCGCAGATATCAGACTTCTGTGTGTCCAACGAACCAGTGCTGGAATACCGCCGTGGCAGTACCGAACGTTGCGAACTCGTTAATGAGTTGGAGAAGATTTCTAACTGCACCGAGGAAATCCCAATCGTAATTGGCGGTGAGGAGATCAGCGATGGCAGTCCGCGCTATGCCGTAATGCCTCACGACCACCAACGCAAGATTGCCAAGTTCTTCTATGCCAGCGAAAAAACCATAAATAAAGCCATTGACACAGCTGTTCAAGCACAGGCTGTTTGGGACCGCACTCCCTTAGAGGAGCGTGTACGTATTTGGTTAAGTGCTGCTGAACTGATGTCCACCAAATATAGACAGTCTTTGAATGCTGCCACTATGGCTGGTCAGTCCAAGTCTGTCATTCAAGCCGAAATCGATTCAGCTGCGGAACTTATTGATTTCTTCCGTTTCAACGCATACTTCCTTAAAGAAAATGTCAAGTATCAACCAATATCAGAGAATCCTAATCTCACCCTAAACTCTATTCGTTTCCGTGGCATTGATGGTTTTGTTGCTGCTATCAGCCCTTTCAATTTTACAGCAATTGGAGGCAATCTTGCTTACACACCTGCACTTATGGGTAATAGTGTTCTTTGGAAGCCATCAGATACGGCAATTCTATCTAATTGGCGTATCTTCAACATTATGCGAGAGGCAGGCTTGCCTGATGGCTTAGTTAATTTTGTACCTGCAGATGGACCTGTATTTGGGACTACAATAACCAAATCTCGTCATTTAGCCGCTATTAACTTTACTGGTTCAGTACCAACATTTAACTGGATCTGGGAAGCAGTTGGACGAAATCTATCCAAATACATAAATTATCCACGCCTCATTGGGGAATGTGGAGGCAAGAATTACCACTTCATACATCCTTCAGCAGATGTTGAAACTGCAGTCGCTTGCACTATTCGCTCAGCATTTGAGTACTGTGGACAAAAGTGTTCAGCTTGCTCACGCTTATATATACCAAGTTCATTGTACACACCAATGATAGAAGGACTTGTGAATGAGCGCCAGAAACTGAAAGTAGGCAATGTGGCAGATTTCAGTGTATTTATGGGCGCCGTGATTGACGAAAAGGCGTTTTGTCGTATTACCAAGTATATAGAAGATGCTAAAAAGAACCCTAAAAACAAAATACTGGGTGGTGGTAAGTATGACAATAGTAAAGGCTACTTTATTGAACCCACAATTATCGAAACAACTGACCCTCACGACAAATTGCTCCAAGAGGAAATATTTGGACCAGTGCTCACAGTGTACACATATGAGGATAAAAATCTGCATCAGACCCTAAAGCTCCTTGGCTCCAGCACTATTTTTGCGCTGACGGGTGCCGTGTTTGCGCAAGATCAGTGTTTCCTGACCACAGCATTGGAAGAACTGCGAATGTCTTGTGGCAATTTCTATATCAATGACAAGTCCACAGGTGCAGTGGTGAACCAGCAGCCTTTCGGCGGTGGTCGTATGTCCGGCACCAATGACAAAGCAGGTAGTCCCTTCTACCTGATGCGTTTCACTACACCCCAGTCGATCAAAGAGACCTTTCAGCCGATGCGCAGTATTGAATACCCATACATGCACGATTAATGCTAGAACATATATTGATTGGGCACATATTAATTTGGCAGATTTTCAAATATTATTTATTTCTTTGGTGAAACGAATTTTTAATTATGAATGCACTGCCATGCAACAAATGAGGCCACTTTAAGCCACATAAGGAATGAGAATGTTCGTTTTTTGCTTATCTGATTAGGTTACCTATTGCGAAAGGTTACATCTTTTACAACCCCTATCTTTCACGTAGTAGTCTTAACTCTTAACTTAGGAACTGGCACTTGTCTGTCTGTTTATTATTGAATTGCAAACATTACATAATGTGTATAGGAGTTATCTTAAGGAACACCTAACTTAAGATGGTCAGTTCTGTTTGCATGACAATGTAGATATAAAGTTTATTTATTTATTCTTCTTATTCTACCTATTTAAACCTTCCTATTTTTGCTTCTATATACATACCTACCTGTTATTATTACATTTTTTGTTATCATTAAATAATATGAATTAATGAAGTCTTGAAACTGTTCAGTTTTAGATTGAATAAGATTTGTTATGTGAAAGGCGTTGAGTGTTTAGATTGTGTGTTCGCAACCACTGACGGATCACTGCGACTAGAAGAATTTAAGACAATAAAGAGACAAAAGAAAAATCTTGAACAATATTTTATTGTAAATATCTCATACAGCACAGAGTACATGGAGATGTAATTGTTTTGTTTAGAATTTACCATGTGGCACTCAGTGCTCTGATCAGTGTTAGTGGAAACAAAACACTTTAAATGCCTATACAAAGGTATTCAAAACCTTTTAATATTTTTTGTTGTAATTATAGTTGATATTAATGTAAGTAATTGTTACCAAACATTACATGAGAAACGCAATTAATTATCTAAGAAAGGGCTGTACGGACACGGTTGTTGTTATGTAAGCAAGATAAACTAACCATTCATCAAGTACAACAAATCACGTTTGATATCGTAAAAATAAGTTTAAAAACTAAAAATATAGGTAAAAAGAAGCAGAGTAACAAACTCTTGCAATAAACCCTCAAGAGCCAGTTGTCGGCTACTGATTTCTTCCTACTACTGAAGGTAGGAGCGACCTAGTTAGTAGATCAGTAAATAATAAACAATAATTAGGCTTTTAGGTATGAATTATATGTTTTCATACATATAATATTTAGACGTTTGTTAAAGTAGCATCACGTTATTGCATTTACGAAGTATTTAGCTAATCAAATAGATCAAAACATTTGAATCAGGGTTCCCAAATGAGTAAGGTCAAGAATGACAACTTGGAATTTTGGACCCTTCTTATCCTTAGCGGTTGGCAGTTGAATTTAAATTTAAAGCTTGGCTTTACAATTGGACTTTCGCACCAAAATATGCGGCCATTCGGATTTCATTAATTTAAGGGTTTAATTGATTCTCCTAAAACCCAGGGAAGTACAATATGGGAAAAGCGCCCAACATACATTAAAATGTACTAACTATATTTACACGTTTTACGCCCAAGCAAGTCTGCCGATAGTTTTGTATGAAAACTTTATTTTTCTAGATATTCTATGGTTATAAAGAATAAATAGAGATAAATTGAGGGCGATATCTTCATTATAAAGGGTCTTTCAACAAGAACTTTGTTTTCTAAAACAAAATAAAACAAAAAATTTAGATGAAGATGATTCAAATTTTTATTGTATTACAAAGAGAAAAGTTCGGCAATTATGAATGAAAAATGATATCTGGCAAATGTCCACCACGACCACGCTGACAGAAGTCGATTCTTTCATCAAAATTTTTAATCACTTTTTGGCAAAATGTCGGGTCTATTTCGGCTATCACATCACGGATTTTGAGTTTTAAGGCTGTAGTCGATTCGATTGGCTCCGTATAGACTCTGTCCTTAAGATAGCCCCACAAAAAATAATCCAGTGGTGTTAAATCACACGATCTGGCTGGCCACTTAACAGCTGAATTTCGGGAAATTACGCGATCAGCAAATTTGGTTTGCAATAAATTGATCGTCTCATTGGCTGTGTGACATGTGGCACCGTCTTGTTGAAACCACACGTCAGTGATATCCATGTCATCAATGCTAGGCCAAAATTGAGTTGTTAACATCTCGCGATAGCGTGATCCATTCACCGTTACCGCATTTCCAGCCGAATTTTCGAAAAAAAAACGGCCCAATGCCAACGGCACAAGTCACATTGCCACCGAAACAATGAATTAATTTATTGCAAACCAAATTTGCTGATCGCGTAATTTCCCGAAATTCAGCCGTTAAGTAGCCAGCTCGATCATATGATTTAACACCGCTGGATTATTTTTTATGGGGTTATGTTAAAGACAGAGTCTATACGGAGCCAATCGAATTGATTGCAGCCTTAAAACTCACAATTTTTGAAGTGATTAACCAAATAAACCCACCACTTTCTCAAAAAGTGATTAAAAACTTTATGGAAAGAATCGACATCTGTAACTGTGGTCGTGGTGGACATTTATCAGATATCATTTTTCATTAATAATTGCCAAACCTTACTTTTATTAATACAATAAAAATTTGAATCATTGTCATCTAAATTTATTGTTTTATTTTGATTTACAAAACAAAGTTCTTATTGAAAAACCCTATAATATACACTGTGCGTTTACATTATCATAGGAATATTATTTATTGTGTCTGAATTAGTTCACATATTATGTACATTTTTGTGTACATGGGGCTTTACTATTTTTAACAGTCTCGTGCTGGCGCCATGGCTGCTATTCGTCGGTTTCACGATTGGTTTAAAAACGTAAGTTTTAACTGACAACGCCGTTACTCCATTTCATGCCAGTAATATAAGTTCAAAAGTCGATAGAAAATTAAATCTAAAAGTGTCAGAACATTTGTACACGATAACACTTTTAGCCTCGTATGTAACACACAAGTTGATCTAATGTCCTACGAGGATTGCGGACGTCGGGCAACCCTGGTCTGATGGCTATATAGAAAACGGTGTCAGTAGAAAATTATTTGTACAAGTGGTTTCTATCATTGATGTTACATAATCGTACAATAACAATAATTAAAATATTACATTGTTAGTACGTTAGTGTTATGGAATAAGCGCGGTACCTTAAAGTTTGTGCACGTGAACGCGAGCGCGTCTCGAGGCTTCGGCCGTTTGACTGCCTCTTATCAACTTTTGTATTTGCTTTGGATTTCTCCTTATCGTATTAACTGTTCATGTTGTGTCATTATTTATCTGTTTTGACTTCTGACTGTTCTTTACGATAGCTAACCATTTACCACGATACTTTACCTACTACCTACATCGACCGCTCTGTCTTGGCAGACTGGCAATGTCGAAGTCATAATAATTGTAATGTTTCTTTACTTTTATGTATGAGATTATTTACTGTATCTTAGTTCGTATTTTTATACACTTTTAAAACTTTTTATGTTGTTTACTATGTTTATTAATACTGATAGACCTCTACATACCTATCTACGTATAGTAAGTTCCCGTTTACTGCAAGTTACTAAAATTGACGGTCGTGCATTATGAAAGAACCATCTACTGTACCTATGCTTAATCTATTCATTGAATAAATAAATTCTTGTACAACGTTTTTTAATTCACTGCTAGATTATGTTCAGTTCTATGTTATTCGACACAAATTACACAAACCCCTGGATTAGGGTCCCGAACGGAAAAGAAATTCTTATGGTGAGAGTTCAATGTCCGTCTGTAGGCATGGTCTGTTTGCACAGTTTTCCACTTGGATTGCCCGTATTTACAATAAGTACTTAATATGATTTTGAATCATTGAGACATACACGGGTCAGCACACCGGACGTTACCAGCTCCCATAGGGGTAAGTAGAAGTTATAATACAAACTGGCAGTTACTACCTACATACATATAAGAATATGACAGATCTTTCTACTGAACGAACTATTGCGATTTCATGTGTAAAATGGATCAGTTTGTCGTCTTTTGTGTATACAGGCCAACCTCTGCTAATTTCAACGAATTTTAATTAATCATGGAAGACAGCTTAAAGCTGATTTTTCCAACCAAAAAAACCGTAATAATATGTGGAGATTTCAATGTAAACCTGTTGGAAAAGTGTTCTATTTCTGTACAGCCTCGCTCCCACTATGACGGACCGGCGAATTTGCCGGGAAACCGGCACTCGGACTAGGGTACACATTAAGCCGGATCTCGCAAGAAATCCGGAGACTAAAGTCCTCACCTCAATCGAATTCAGACAACTGCACACGATAGACGACGAAATTGTGGTGTTGTGGTGGTATCTTGGAAGGCTTAATAAAGTAAAAAAAAGCATTGGGTGCATCCTATCGTACGGGAAAGATTTCAGTTGGAAATTTTAAAACAAAAAATCGAAAGGTACGTCTTGTCGCTTCTCAAAGCAGCGTATTTGGTGTTCGTCTATACACTTTTATTGATTTTGTTTTGTGCAAAAAGTTATTTGTGTGAGTTGAAAGTTATACCAAAAGAAACCTAATCCAGTGAACTTTACGGTGATGTAATTTATTTCATGTGCTTTTTTTTACTTTACGAGTGATTAACAAAAACATTTCTAAAAATTCCATTTGACTTTTTAAATGCTTCTTTGGTGAGAACGAAGGGATTCGGCAAACAATAGAAATCAACGGACGTTGTACCTATAACGTACTGACCAAGAACAAGTGAATCATTATTTCGCCATTCGATGGTGTGAACGTTTTGGTCGATTAGTTGCGTTTGTGTCTTTTTGTTAGAAGAAATCCAGGTTCAAATCTACCACAATTCGCAAAACTTTTTGTTTTTTAGTATTTGTATTATTATTTCATTTTTATTTATATTGTTGTTTGATTTTGTATACCACTGCCTATTTATTATACATACTGGTGTGCGTTTTAGACATTGCCGGTGGATCGCTAGCGCCTATACATGTGTTTAGCAATTCTGAGTGTTAACATATGATAGGCAAGCGCCTGATTGTTTAACGTTGGCAATTATTATTTTTTATCTGAGAGTTTTTAAACACGTAATTTATTTTGATATGGCTGAGATAAACATTACTTGGTGTTGCTGCACCCAATTTTCTGAGAATGATGAATATATACAATGCAGTTCTTGTAATAAAGCGTATCATCCCGCATATCTACCAAGTATTGCTTTATCGGATAAGTCAGACTGGGTTTGTCCTGATTGTGTACCGAAAACATCTGATAGCAACCCCGTTGGGTCATTGGAAAGAAGAAATGTAACAGTGAGAGCCAATATACGAAATAAAAATAAATAGATTCGTTCCCCGTCCGAATTAGTTAATTCGCCGGTTACGGAGCGCGCACTGATTGCAAAGTCAATGATACAAAAGGAGACATGCTCTGAACTTCCAACACCCAGTGAAATTAGGAGTATAATAAAAGAAGTTATGCAGGAAGAACTAGGGACCATCGCTAACAAGATAAAATCAGAAATATCATCAGTAATCATCGCGGAACTGAAGTTGCTGAAGGAGGAGTTTGATGACATGAATGAGTCTGAATTTTATGAGCGATCAGTTCGATGATATTAGAAGGACGCGTGACGCGGATAGAGAATTGGTGAGGAATTTGCAGGAACAAAACCTTAAGTTCTTAGAATCTTTGGTTAAAGAACAGAATTCAAGGATTAGAATTGGAACAGCAGGCTCGCTCCAACAAACTGGAGATACAGTGCGTTCCGGAAAAGCGGGATGAGAATATTATGCAAATAGTTGCCGATATTACCGAGACCATTGGTTGCAAGCTAGGTGAAAGAGAAGTGCAGCATTACCCACGCATATCAAAGTTAAATAAAACTAGTACGAGACCCCGTTCTACAGTGATTCAATTTAGTTCCCCTAAAACTCGAGGTCTCTTCCTAGCCGCAGCAATCACATTTAATAATAGCAAATCAAACATCAACGATAAGTTAAATAGCGGACATGTTGGCTTCCGTAACAGAACACCTATCTTCATTACGGACCATCTCTCCGGCAACCAAAGCTTTACATGCAGCAACTCGTATGAAAGCAAAGGAAAAGGGATATAAAGTTTGGATAAGGAATGGTAAAATATTGGCGCGCAAGGGCTTTGAGGGGGATTTCATTTATGTCAGGGATTACGATAGTTTAAAAAACTTATTTAAAATTTAATTCTTTATGCATGAATATTGTATTAATACAGTTCAAAATTTTCTAATTTAAATATTAACTGAGTCCTTAGGTTTTCGCGATTGTTACACATAGGAAATAAAACTATTTTTCCGGATTTAAATCGCATATATTTGTTTTTTCAAACAAACCGACGTTTCGGGCCCTTTTCATAACTGGTTGAAGACTGTACCGCCTCAGTCAACCGTGCGGTTTGTTTGAAAAAACAAATATACGCGATTTAAGTCAGGAAAAAGAGTTTCATTTCCCATTCAATATTTATAATGAGAATTTCAGAGGTGTGAGAAGGAAAACTCATGACTTTTATCGAAATTTATGTTGTACTTCGTACAATGTTATCATACTTACTGAAACATATTTGAATAGTAGTTTAGAATTGTTCGACTCTAGATACCAAAAGAATATACTCTAAATTC